CATCCATCCTTCCACCTATCCATCCATCCTTCCACTTATCCATCCAACTTTCCATCCATCCATCCATCCTTCCACCTATCCATCCATCCTTCCACCTATCCATCAAACCTTCTATCCATCTATCCTTCTACCTATCCATCCATCCTTCCACCTATCCATCCAACCTTCCATCCATCTATCCTTTTACCTATCCATCCACCCTTCCACCTATCCATCCAACCTTCCATCCATCCATCCTTCCACCTATCCATCCAACCTTCCATCATCCATCCTTCCACTTACCCATCCAAACTTCCATCTGTCCATCCTTCCACTTATCCATCCAACCTTTCATCCATCTGTACTTCTACCTGTCCGTCCAGCTTTCCATCTATCTGTATTTCCACCTGTCCATATGGCCTTTCATCCATCCATTCTTCCACCTGTCCATCCAACCTTCCGTCATCTATACTTCCACCTATCCATCCAAACTTCCATCCACCCAACCTTCCACCCATCTAATTCATCCCATATATCTTTCTTTCCTTCCTTCTACCCATCTATCTACTCTTCCTGTCTTGCAATCTTCCACTCATCTCTGTTGATTTATGCATCAATCACATCATTCTACTTTTGAGGGATGCTTCTTCAGTGCTGGATAATATCACCCTTTGAAAACTCATGTTCAGCTGGGTCTGGCTCATGCCTGTAATCCCAGCACTTTGGGAGGCTGGGGTGGTCAGATCACTTGAGCCCAGGAGTTTGAGACCAGCCTGGGCAACACAGTGAGAGCCCATCTCTATGAAAAAATACAAAAAATTTAGCCAGGCGTAGTGGTATGTGCCTGTAGTCCCAGCTACTTGGGAGGCTGAGGCAGGAGGATCACCTGAGCCCGGGAGGTGGATGCTGTGGTGGGCTGTGATTGCGCCACTGCACTCTCACTGCTGGAAAGCTCAGGCAATGGAGTGAGATCCTGTCTCAGTAAAAGAAAACTCATGTTCAAGTGGTGGTATTGGAGGGTCAGGCTTGTGCTCAAGAGCTCACAACTGCTGTAATGGAGCCACAGGGGCTGAGAGCAGCAAGGGCTGGTCACCTTGCTCTGAAAAGGGCAACTGAAAAAGCCTCCACCCATACAACACCCTTTGTGGGCATAGGTGTGGGGAAGAGAAAAACAAAATCTTAGTCTGCATGTTGTATGAGCCAGATGGTAAGAGATCTTGCTTAATCCTCACAACTCTGTTTTAGCTCAATTTTAGAGACAGGGAAACAGGTTCAGAAAAGGGACTCCAAATGTGGTGGGGAAAAGCCATGGGGTCTGTCCTGGATTTAAATCTTGGCTTTGCCACTTTCTTGCTGTGTGTCTTTGAGCACCTACGAGGCTCAGTTTCCTAATCTGTAAACTGCAAATGATGTGCACTTAATAGTTGCGATGCTGTGAGGTTTATGACTAACATGCTTTATGCAAAATGTTGAGCATGGTGCTGGCTCAATTAGTGCGCAAACAATGGTAGCTGTTCTTCTCATTACATGGGAAGTTGGGATTTGAACCTAGGTCCTGTCCTTCCCCACTTCATAAGCCATGTGTCTGGTCCAACCTTCCATTCATAAAGGCCAGCCTCTTCTCCCACCAACAGGCTCAGAGAACTCACATTCCCCGGTACCAGCTGCTGATATTGTCTTGCAAAGAGAAGCATAACTTATATCTGTGATGGGTTGAATTGTGTTCTTCACAAAATTCATATGTGGAAGTCCCAATCCCATGTACTTAACCCTAACTCTGCAAATAGAGCCATTGCAGATGTAATGAGTTAAGGTCATAGTGGAATAAAGTGGGCCCCTACTCCAGTATGACTGGTGTTCTTATAAAGAGGGGAGATTTGGACAGAGACATGCACATAGGGAGAATTTCATGTGAGGACTGGAGTTATGCTGCCCAAAGCCAAGGAACTACCAGAATGGAGAAGTCTGGAATGGATCCTTCCCAGTGTCTTCAGAGGGAGCATGGCCCTGAGGGCACCTTAATCTTGAACTTCCAGCTTCCAGAACAATAAGACAATAAATTTCCGTTGTTTCATCCACTCAATTTGTGGTACTTTGTTATGACAGCTCTAGCAAATGAATACAACCACCACAGGCCCTTTTCTCTGTATTTACAGAGGTGACCCAAAATGGCAGCTGTGCAAGATGGACCAGACTGAGAATAACCACGGCAGGGGCTGTGGTCACCATTGCCTTCCTGGACCCAGCACAGAATCTGGCCAAAGGAGGTTCTCATCAAGCCTTAGCAAGTGAGTTTCGTTTTTTTTTTTTTTTTTTGAGACAGAGTCTCTGTCGCCAGGCTGGAGTGCAGTGGCACGATCTCAGCTCACTGCAACCTCCACCTCCCGGGTTCAAGTGATTCTCCTGACTCAGCCTCCGAGTAGCTGGGATTACAGGTGTCCACCACCACGCCTGGCTAATTTTTGTATTTTTGGTAGAGACAGGGTTTCTCCATGTTGGCCAGGCTGGTCTCGAACTCCTGGCCTTGAGCCATCTGCCTGCCTTGGTCTCCCTAAGTGCTGGGATTACAGGCATGAACTACCACACCTGGCCACAACTGAGTGTTTTTAAACAACTTGATGAATTTTTACTTATGTATACTTCAATGTAACTCCTACCTTGATCAAGATATATATTTTCCTCATGCCAGATGTCCCCTTTGTGTTCCCCATCCCACAGGGTAACTACTATTTTGACTTCAGTCACCAATAAGGAATTTGGCTGGTTCTTGAACTTCATATAAATGACATTATACAGTATGTACTCTTTTGTGTCTGGTTTCTTTTGCCCAATATTATGAGACTGATGCATCTTGTTGAATATAGCTGTATAGATCATCCTTTTTTGGGGGTGCAGGCAGGGTTTCACTCTATTGCCCAGGCTGGAGTGTAGTGGCGTGATCAAGGCTCACTGCAGCCTCAGCCTCTCCTGGGCTCAGGTGATCCTTGAACCTCAGCCTCCTGAGTAGCTGGCACTACAGGCATGTGCTTCTAAGCCTGGCTAATTTTTGTATTTTTTGTAGGATGGGTTCTCACCATGTTACCTAGGCTAGTCTCAAACTCCTGGGCTCAAGTCATCTACCTGTCTTGGTCTCCCAAAGTGCTGGGATTTCAGGTGTGAGCCACCATGTCAACCGTTCATTCTTTTTAAATCAATGCATAGTGTTTCACTGTAAAATGTATCAGATTTTATTTGCACATTCTGCCACTGATGGACATTGGGTAGTTTCCAATTTTGAGCTCTAATGAATAAGGCTGCTGGAAAAATCCTTACATGTCTTTTGTCTAACATATGCACTCATTACCCTTGGAGTGGAATTACTAGATCATAGAGCAGGCATATGTTTTACTTTAGTAGAAATTGCCAAATAGTCTTCCAAAGTTATTGAGTCAAATTACACGTCCCTACCCCAACCCCCACCCTAACTGGAATATGAGCGTTCCAACTGTTCCACATCTTGATATTGTAGTTCTTTGTTTTGTTTTGTTTTGTTTTTAGAGATAGGGTCTCATTCTGTTGCCCAGGCTGGAGTGCAATGGCCCAGTCTCAGCTCATTGCAACCTCTACTTCCCGGATTCAAGTGATTCTCATGTCTCAGCCTCCTGAGTAGCTGGAATTACAGGTGTGCACCACCATGCCCAGCTAATTTTTGTGTTTTTAGTAGAGACAGGGTTTCACTATGTTGGCCATGCTGGTCTCAAACTCCTGACTTCACGTGATCCGCCCACCTCGGCCTCCCAAAGTGCTGGGATTACAGGTGTGAGCCACCACGCCTGGCCATCTTATTTTTTGTTTGTTTGTTTTTGTTTAATGGCACAATCACAGCTCACTACAGTCTCAAACTCCTGGGCTTAACTGATCCTCATGCCTCAGCCTCCTGAGTAGCTAAAACTGCATGCATTGGGCCACCATGCCTGGCTAATTTGTTTTAAATTTTTGGAGACATAGGGTCTTGCTATGTTGCCCAGGCTGGTGTTGAACCCCTGGCATCAAGCAATTCTCCCATCTCAGCCTCGCAAAGTGTTGAGATTAGAGGCATGAGCCGCTGTGCCCAGCCCCAGTCTTTTTGATTTTAGTCATTCTAGTGGGATGTAGTGGCATCTCACTGTGGTTTTAATTTACATTTCCCTGGCAGATAAGGCTGTTGAGCACCTTTTCATGTACCTATTGTCCATTTTAAAAATTGGATGGGCCGGGCGTGGTGACTCATGCCTGTAATCCCAGCACTTTGGGAGGCCAAGGTGGGTGGATCACCTGAGGTCAGGAATTTGAGACCAGCCTGGCCAACATGGTGAAACTCCGTCTCCACTAAAATAAAAAGAAAAATAGCTGGGCGTGGTAGCAGGCGCTTGTAATTCCAGCTATTCTACTCGGGAGGCTGAGGCAGGAGAATCGCTTGAACCCGGGAGGTGGAGGTTGCAGTGAGCCGAGATTGTGCCACTGCACTCCAGCCTGGGCAAAGAGA